CTTTAGGGGTGAATGCTTTTATATTTGTTGAAGGAATTTTAATATATTTAACTTATATTAAAAGAATTAAGTACTTTTTAATTTTATTTTCATATTTTACTTAAATAAAATGAATTTTTTTTTAATTATTGCATGTAATAACAAAATTTTGATATTATTTATTTACTTATAATATTAATTATTAAGTAAATATATTCATGTCCTTATTCGTAATTTGACACTTAAAAATATTTTCTAAAAAGCTTGGCCAAACACCAATTATTTCTCAAAAGTGCTTTTCAGACTGATTAGCCAAACACAAGCTGCTTCTCTCCAAAAGTACTTTTTGCAAAAGCACTTTTGAAAAAAACACTTCTCAAAATAAGTTATTTCTCCAGCTTAACCAAACAGGCTATAAAACTAATTGAACGTTCTGTTTCCCTATAAAAATACCAGAAAAGGTACTTTAGTTTTGTGTGGTTGGATTTTGCCCGTTGGCGCTTCACCTGAGCATCATCACCCTCAATTTTTCCTTATTTGGTCACTATACCACCGGCAAACTCAACCAACCCATGTTTGTTTGCTTTCTTTCATTTTAAGTTCTCTCGCCTTAACTTCCATATACATTTGCATGTCGTGTGCTTCTTTATTTATATATTTGTTGTGTAGCACACCAGGTACCTATTACTTCTACTACCTAGTAACTCTGTCCACTAGGGTTAGGCAGATTAAAAGGAAACAAAAGCTTCTTAAATTTTTCTTTTCTCATTCATATTGCTAATTTGTGTATTAGACCTTCCAAATAACATTGATAATTGTCATGTTTTGTCTGATTCTAAAGCCTGTTATTTTTAATCCTTTTGGGCAAAAAATAATTGCATGTTGTTAGTTCAAATTTTATATCAAAGCTTAGACCATTTGTAATCTGTTTCACTAATTTTAAGCCAATTCAGTTCCTAAGTTGCAGTATCAAGTACTAAATAGGAGTTTATTTATGTTTATATGTTTCCACTGCACACAAATACGAATTTAGCTGTTACTTAGGGTATTTGAATTGTTAGAATGTATATATTTTCTTCTCAAAAGAATGTATTTATTTAATTATGTCTGGAGCNTTTCTTGATCACATTACTGCTCTTTTTTGAGATTTTGTTTTAGTTCTGGAGAGTCTCTGCAACGTAATCTTGTCAGCCCCCCCCCCCCAACCCACCCCCACCATACAGAAATGCAAATCATGTTGTTATTATTGTGATTTCTGTGATATATCTATTCCTACTAGTTGTAGATCTATTACTACTACTTCTGTTAGAAATTGATGATTCTTTTGGTTCCTTTGGCATTAAACCTTCAACTGATTTCCTATGCGGTGTTGGCTGGCCCCATGTTCGCTTTTAAACTAATTGACTTGTCGTTCCCTTATAGAAAGACAAAAAGTTTTTTAATTTCGAGTGGCTGAATCTACTTCGTGTTATTTTGTTAGGTTTGTCCAATTCGATTATGATCTCTCTTGTTTCTTCCAGTTTGGATGGGCTTTATCACTGTTGGCTTGTTTGACAGGGTTTTGACCTTGATATCTATCCTGGTTGTTCTATGCTGGCTGATGTGCTGCCATTAGACAAGTCCCATACTAAGTATGGTGAGATAATGATGGAACTGGCGCTATCCAGCAATACAATGAGAAAGAGTGCAATGTATGTATTTGTCCCCTAAGCACCTTTGCTTTGGGGGATTAGTGTCCACCTCCACTATCCTTCCTTTATTTTCTTCCTGGCATGTTTTCTTTTTCAACTGATAGTGGCTCTGCTTGCAGGTTTTTAAGTACAAGTTCTTGAATATTGAGAAGGTGAACTATCGGTTGACGGGATTGAAGAATATTTTATGACTGTTAAAGTCTTAAATCTCACTCTTGGTTCTTCTATCGAAACTTTTCAAATACATGCTGGCAGACTGATTGCTGTTGCAGGTACCAAAAAAGTCTTTAGTTGCCTGCCAAAAGGAGGGGTAAACACCTATCGAGTTTTACAATTTGCCTTCCTATTTTTTGGGCGCGTTTCTGGTTTGCAATTTATTCTTCTTCTTTTTCCGCGTTTCTGTGGCAATTGGATTTAGTCGCTCAACTGTGGGGGTAATGGTATTATGAGTGAGTTGATCGACCAATGTTCTATAGATATGTGAAAACACTATCGGTATGCTGAATTTCGGGAGGCGACGACCCCCCCCCCCC